AATTTTCAAAGATGTGAATGTGTTGTTCACATGTCGAATCACATAAGTTAGTTCTCATGACTGGTGTACATTATGTGTGTGCATCCCCTACAAGTGGTTGTGCTTTTGGAATTCTACTGAGCAGTATCTTTATTTCAAAGATATCCAGAGGCAAGTGTAAGAGCAGGGCTGATTTTGAAGGACCTTCAGATCCTCTCTATAGATTTCCACTTGCCTACACTGGCTTGGTGAATGGAAATACACGACATGATGAAAAAGATCGCTGCAGGTGCCTCATCAGCGATAGAAACGCCCTTTTCTGCTCTGTGTGGTTGATGCCCACGTCCATCTCAATCAGACATGCTGCTCAGCCATGCCAAAGGGGAAGGGGGAGCAGCAGTTCTCACTATTCTGCTCTGCCTGGGTGACTCTAATTCTCAAAAAAGGGGTAGAGAAGCATGTTTAAGCTGCATCCTCATATCCAGTTTTATCTGCAATAATGCCAGTATTTTAGCTGGTAAAGAATCCACCTGCAATGCAGGGGACCCTGGTTCAATTCCTGGGTCAGGAAGTTCCCCTGCGGAAGTGATAGCCTAACCGCTCCAGTGTCCTTGGGCTTCCCTGGAGACTCAGACAGTAAAGAATCTGCCTGCAGTGCAAAGGCCTGGGTACAATCCCTGGGTGGGGAAGATCCCCTGAAGAGGCCATGGCAACCCACTCCAGTATTCTTGCCTGGAGAATCCCCATGGGCAGAGGTGCCTGGCAGGCTACAGTCCATGATGTCACAAAGAGTCAGATCTGTTGAGTGAATAAGCACAGCACAACGCTAGTAATTTTAATCTCTGACTCCTGTGTGGAGTCTGCAAGTGATCACCACCCAGAAGGATGGTGATTCAATGGCCCCTTTAGTATCCAGCAATGGTAAAGCCAGAAATTTCACTTCAGTCACAACATTTATTGAGAAATTACTGTGTAACACTCTGCTCTAAGCTCAGGGATGTGAGACAAAACAAAATCCTACTCACATGTTTTAACTGAAGAGAATTTAATGGAAAGAATTTAATTTAATGAGGAGAATACTGGCAGTGTTAAATAAATCAGCCCAAGAATTTGAAGCATCTGGAGGCTAAGTTCATAAGACGATTTTCATACAAGTCCTGAAGTAGTCAACACAAGGGCCTCTGTCAGGGTTCTAGTGTCACAAGATCCAGGAAGAACATGCCAGGCCACCTTCTCAACACACACCTCAGCAGGAATTTTCCTTGAAAAGATGCAGCCACCTTAACACTTCATTGTGAAACTGGGAGAAAATGAAAATGAAATTTGGATACTTTTCTCTTCCTCTCACCTCTGTTATGCTCCTAGTTTCTCCTGCTGGCCTAACTCAGATGGAAACTAGACACTTGAAGAGCTCTATTGATGGAATTTAAGGATTAAGCTCCAGGTAGGAAAAAGAAAGAAAGAAAGAAAGAAAATAAAAAGACAAGCTGTATAGATGGTCTAGACTGACAAAGGAAGCATCAGCACATTTATATTATCTGTATATCCATGGTGTTCCCTTTGCTAGGTATTTATTACTACAACAATTTAAAATATAAAGAGCAATGTTCAGAATCAGTAAATAAGTAGTTCGAATGCAGCAAAATTATCTGACTGTCTGATGGTTTTCTTGTATCATTCAGTCTTCTATCTGCATGAAAGCTTAACTTCCCCAAGTCAAGTCTCAAAATATCAAGACATTTAGGCATAAGTTAAAAAAAAAAAAAGAGTCCCATTAGTATACCATTTCAGATTTGATTCCCTGAAGATACTGGGGAGAGCCAAGAATCATGTCCTCAATGGGCTTAAGATTTAAAAAGAGTAAATCACTCATGATGATTTATAGCCTAGATAATTTTCTGTGAGAAATAATTGAACCCTAGGGTTCTCATCCCTCTGTGACAATTTTGGCATAAATTCCTCAGCTTCTTCACATCTGTGCTGTCACTAGGAAATCACTCTTCTTTCACAGGTAGGACTAGGTATTGAACAGTTTGCTGTGCTGTGTGCTTAGTCACTCAGTCGTGCTTGACTTTTTGGAACCCCATCAATGGTAGCTCACCAGACTTCTCTGTCCATGGGATTCTACAGGCAGGAATACTGGAGTGGGTTGCCATGGCCTCCTCCAAGGATCTTCCCAATCCAGTGATCAAACCCAGTCTTCTGCATTGTAGGCAGATTCTTTACCATCTGAGCCACCGGGGAAGCCCACGAATACTGCAGTGGGTAGCCTATCCCTTCTCCAGGGGATCTTCTGGACCCTGCAATCAGAATGGGGTCTCCTGCATTGCAGGCATATTCTTTACCAGCTGAGCTAAATTCTATTTTTCTCATAGTACAAATATTTAAAAATATACCATGGAGTGGTTTCACAATGGAAAAAGAAATAGATCAAAGTCCACAAGACAGCCTCAGGTTGAGAGTGTCTGTCAAGAATACCAAGCTTTATAGTGCCCAGAGCCACTTCTGTCCACTTCTCTCTAAGTTTTCCTTGCTAAGTCAGTTATTCACATCAGGTGGCCAAAGTATTGGAGTTTCAGCTTCAGCATCAGTCTTTCCAATGAATGTTCATGACTGATTTCCTTTAGGATGGACAGCTTGGATCTCCTTGCAGTCCAAGTGACTCACAAGAGTCTTCTCCAACACCACAGTTCAAAAGCATCAGTTCTTAGGTGCTCAGCTTTCTTTATGGTCCAATTCTTACATCCATACATGACTACTGGAAAAACCACAGCTTGGACTAGACAGACCTTTGTCAGTAAAGTAATGTCTCTGTTTTTCAATATTCAATCTAGGATTGTCATAGATTTTCTTCCAAGGAGATGGTCTCCTTTATCATGTACGAAAGTTGAGAAAAACACTTTATGATTTCTTACATACTGTCTCAGTTTTATAGATAATATGATTATTATTAACAGTGTGACCTTTACAGAACTCAAATTGAACCCCTATCATACAGTTTATTCTTATTTTCTGAAAGAGTTAAAATGAGGTAAAGTTACAACAAAATTATTACAGTTTGGGGATGGGTCTGTCAATCACCTTTTAAAAGACTGTCTTCTCCTCAAAGGGACATTTTTAACACATAATTTTACCCAATTTATTCATTCTCTTAATATTTAATACCACTGATAAATGTGGATATATATAAAAATAATCACATATTGTTTAGGTACTGTATTTTTCCCTGTTGTTTATATAAAAACACTGGTTTAATTTTGAGTCCCATAAGCCAATTATTGCCCTAAATAATTGGCTGAAATATACAAAGCTAAGGATAGCCTGGGATATCTTACTGAAGTAAGATTTGGTCATGTTAGGGTCACCTGAGGGTCACCTGAGGTAAGCAAGGGTGGATAAAATGAACATGCAACACAGGATGAGGGACTACCTAGAAAATAACCTTCTGATTAGAGTGGCAGGTAGATAGACACTGGTTCTATAAGATCTATCTGTTCCATTTCCCTAAATCATCCACTTGTGGGGGAAAAACAATGAGTCTCAATTGCTGACACTTTAGACACTACATCAAAATTATTCTGAAAAAAAGAATCATAGTTTTAAAGAAAAGCAATATTTAAAGGGAGTGTAAGTGACCAATTCATGATAATGATTTGTAGAAAAGATCTAAGTTTCTCAATTATGAAAAGACTTGCAGAAAAACATTTGAAACTATGTAAATGTGCTCTATTTTAAATTAAATATTGAAACATCTAATGCATGATTTCTAGGTTATTTCTGGATATTTAAAGACAAATTTGATGAGGAACATTTTTAAAGACTACTGAATTTCTTATAGTATTGCTTCTGCTTTATGCTTTGTTTTGTTTTGTTTTGGCCACTAGACACGTGGGATCATAGCTTCCTGAAAGGGGATCAAATCTTTGTTCCCTGCCTTGCAAAGTGAAGTTTTAACCACTGGATCACCTGGAAAGTCCTCTATGTAACTTCTTTATGTCACATGTATTTAGAAGTTTAAAAGAAGTAAGCATTGATGAAATGATGTTACTAATGAAAAATGATAAAAAAAACAAATGCATTTTTATTTCATTTACTTTAGACTTCATTGGAAGCTGAGCAAACACAATGTTAAAGGAAAACTACACAGAAGTGACTGAGTTCATTCTCCTGGGACTGACAGATCGAGCTGACTTGCAGCCTGTCCTTTTTGTGGTCTTCCTAGTCATCTACCTGATCACAGTCATTGGCAATATGAGCATGATTTTATTAATCAGAACTGACTCGAAGCTTCAGACTCCAATGTACTTCTTCCTCAGCCACCTCTCCTTTGTAGATCTCTGTTATGCTACCAATGTCACTCCTCAGATGCTAGTCAATCTCCTATCCAAGAGAAAAACCATTTCCTTCCTTGGTTGCTTTACACAGTTTGACTTTTTCATTTCCTTGGGGCTCACAGATAGCTATATGCTCACAGCAATGGCTTATGACCGCTACATGGCCATCTGCAAACCCTTGTTATATGGCAACAAAATGTCCCGAGGTGTCTGCCTCTCTCTCGTTGCTACATCTTATATTTATGGCTTTGCAAATGGTCTTGCACAGACCATCCTGATGCTCCGCCTCACCTTCTGTGGACCCAACGAAATCAACCACTTTTACTGTGCAGACCCACCGCTCTTAGTCCTAGCCTGCTCAGATACTTATGCCAATGAAACTGCCATGTTTGTGGTGGCTGGTTCCAACCTCATATTTTCTTTCACCATCATCCTCATCTCTTACATTGTCATCTTTACAGCCATTCTGCAAGTGTGTTCTCCGGAAGGGAGGCACAAGGCCTTCTCCACCTGTGGGTCTCATCTGACAGTTGTCGCTATGTTTTATGGGACACTGTTCTGGATGTATCTGAGACCACCTTCTGAGGCATCTGTAGAACAGGGCAAAATTGCAGCTGTTTTTTATATCTTTCTGAGTCCTATGCTAAACCCTTTGATCTACAGCCTTCGGAACAAAGATGTTAAAATTATGACCGTTACATGGCCATCTGCAAACCCTTGTTATATGGCATCAAAATGTCCCGATGTGTCTGCCTCTCTCTCGTTGCTGCATCTTATATTTATGGCTTTGCAAATGGTCTTGCACAGACCATCCTGATGCTCCGCCTTTCCTTCTGTGGACCCAATGAAATCAACCACTTTTACTGTGCGGACCCACCTCTCCTAGTCCTGGCCTGCTCAGACACTTATGTGAATGAAACTGCCATGTTTGTGGTGGCTGGTTCCAACCTCATGTTTTCTCTCACCATCATCCTCATCTCCTACATTTTCATATTTACAGCCATTCTGCAAATGCATTCTCCAGAAGGGAGGCACAAGGCCTTCTCCACCTGTGGGTCTCATCTGACAGTTGTTACTATGTTTTATGGGACACTGTTCTGGATGTATCTGAGGCCGCCTTCAGTGGCATCTGTAGAACAGACCAAAATTGCAGCTGTGTTTTATATCTTTCTGAGTCCTATGCTAAACCCTTTGATCTACAGCCTTCGGAACAAAGATGTTAAGAGAGCATTAAGGAGAGTGATCCAAGAGAAATTGTTTGTCAATTAAGTACACATTTGGCCAGAGGTATGTAATATATTTGTATCCTCTGACCGATTAGAAAGAATTTTAAATTAATAAGTCACTTTTTGTCATTGACTTATTTTTACCTTTTGCAATTCACTTACAAAATGTGGAAGAATCTGTCAGATCATTAGCTTGTGTCATTTCAGTGTATTTAAAATGAATACCACATGGAAATCCAATGACAAGACCAGACAGCATTATTATTTTTATAATATTAGTAAAGGACAGATAATCCTGTGCACAATATTCGTAAAGGTAGAAGTTATAAAAGACAGAATTACCAATGATGCTAAGACAATGCCAATTTGTTTGATCTGAGGGGTTTAAAAATTTCCAAATTATTTTCCAAAACTTGTCAATCATATAAGGAGGAAAGTTTTTGGTTTAGTTGGTTGGTTCTTTCCTTTGTTCACAATATATGACCAAGAAGATTTTTAGGTATCTTAAATTATTACTCTAAGAACTACATTTAGATATTAGTACTGGTCTAACAGAATCCTCATTAATTAAATGTTTGACAGAAATGCCAAATTTCCTTTAATTTTTTTTTAATATTTCTTTTGATTTTTCTTTTACCAATATACCTCCAGAATTAACTTATTATTGGCTTTCACTTTTTGTGTGTGTGTGTGCACTGTTAGCAGCTCACAGACAAAAATAGTGAATAGTATAAAGAGCACTTTTCAAAGCATAGCTAATCATCATTAAGTTTTCACACAGTGACACTTTGTTTCAAATTTGCACAAATCTCCATGCCATGGACCTGACTGCTCACCTTGGCATCTCCCCCTGGGACATACAGGTTGGGGAAGCTCACGATGCTGGAAAACTCAGAAGAGATGGGAGTTGAGCAGAACTTGGTTCTGTTAGGTCAATCGAGTTGATTTTTTTTTCTGTTTTTTATCTGTTTTTTGTTTTTTTGTTTTTGGTGTATACCCTTTTTGAGTGTCTCTGTGTTGTGTGCGTCTCTGTGATCCCATGGACTGTAGCCTGCCAGGCTCTTCTGTCCATGGAGATTCTCCAGGCAAGAATACTCAAGTGGGTTGACATGCCCCTCTCTAGGGTATCTTGCAAACTCAGGGATCGAACCCAGGTCTCCTGCATTGCAGGCAGATTCTTTCGTGTCTGAGCTACCAGGGAAGCCTGGTGTTCAGCACAGTAATTTACAATTTTTAGAACTGTTAAAGAGGCTTTTCCGGTTGGCTCAGTGGTAAAGGATCTGTTTGCAGTGCAGGCGACTCAGAAAATACAGGTTTCAGAACTGGGTTGGGAAGATCCACTGGCGGAGGAAATGTTTAAAAAACAGTAAGAGCGATTCAAGAGAAATTATTTGCCAAATAGCGTAGACATTTTGGTCACAGGTATGTAGCATATCCATATTCTCTGATCAGTCAGTGAGGACTTTAACAAATCATTTTGGCTATTGACTATTCTTTTCCTTTTATAATTCACCTATGAGACTTGGAAGAATGTTATCAAATTGTTAGTTTTGACTCAGTATATTAAAATAATACCACACATATATTAAGACACAAGACCAAACAGCATTGTCATTGCTCTATAAAATTAGCAAAAGGCAGATCATTCTGTCTACATTACCCATAGTCACCAGACATGTGAACTTGCTTGTTGGATTGTTTCTTTTGTAATTTTTATTCAAGTTATATAGAAATGAAGATCTTTAGGAATCTCAGGTTATTGATCCAAGCTATGTCTTTAGATAATAGTACCGGTCCAATAGAATCCTCATTCACAAGATTGTTAATGTAAATCCTAAATATCCTACAGAATATTTTCATTATATATTTTGTGTTTTAATCTATTTATATCCCTATCATAAACTAGTTTTGAAGTTTCATTTTTTTGGTTTTGTTATGAGCCATTTCCAGTACATATCCCAAATATAAAGCAACATAAAGACTACCAGTGTCAGGAGAACTAGCAATTAATATATCACACAATGCCACATTTTTCATCTTTTAGATTTTTATTTTATCTTGGAGCATAGTTGATTAACACTGTTGTGTTAGTTTCCAGTGCACAGAAAAGTGACTCAGTTACACCTATTCATGGATCTATACTTTTCCCATTGCTTCCCCATTTAGATTATTGTAGAGTAGTGAACAGTCTTCCCTGTGCTATAACAGCAGGTCCCTTATTTCACTGTTTCAGAAACTCAGATCCCGCACCTCTGCATGTCATGGGCACTAGTGCTCACCTTTGGCATCTTTTCCTGAAGCGTATCTGGGGGAAAGGCTATGACACTGAAGCATGCTTAGAAGAGATGGGACCTGAGCAAAGCAGGGTCCTATTAAGTCTGTCCAGTGAATTTTCTTTTATCATATCTTCAGTGTCCATAAAGATGTTTGAATTTTCATACATGAAAATCTAGAAAGATGATGCAGATTTGTAGTTTTTAAAACTATTGAGACTATATTATTAGGTCTTATCAAGTACTGAACTGGTATTATTCCTTTTATCATTTATACTTTCTATCCCTTCTATGATGTGTAAAGTCTAAAAGTTTGATTTGTCTGATATTCACATATATTTGGCTGTTTATTTTCTGTTTGTTTTTAGTTGTTTATGTCCAGTATGTTTATTTTGACTTTTTTATTTTGAGAGTCCTTTTGATCACTATTTCTTATTTTATTGTGGATATTGACACTTTTGAATATTTCTGACAACTTAGTTTGTGCTTTTCACAAACTTCTTTATGCTTTTTCTCCTCTTTACCTACTGTGAATTAAATCATATTTTGCTACTTTCCTTCCTTTTTAATCCTTGTTTGACTATCATACATTCTATTTTCTGTTATTAATAAGTTCCCTTAAATTGTGTATGCATACTTGTCTTAACTTAGTCTTCATTAATCAGTACATCTACTTTGCTATTAAATAATAAAAAGAATGTACAATATTTTAATTATGAATTCATCCTGCTTCTAACTTATAAACTGTCATTTGCAGGTATAGAATAAATCATTAATAGTAAATTATTTATTAATGAACTTTAAATATTATCTATATTGTATATGATTACAGTTATAATTATATTAAATGGTGATTTGATGTTCAGGTTCCTTTAACTTCTGTGACATTTATCAATTTTTCTCTGACTATTATATGGCACTCACTCTTCATTTATGGTTTAGTTTTCCCCTGTGTGATATATATCCTTAATCAGTTCTTTCAGTGAGAGTCCCTCTCTATCCACTTATCTGAGAATATCACTTGTCCATTCTCAAAGTAGAATTTATTTGGGTATGAATGTAGAAAGACAGATACTTGCTTTCAGTATTTAAAATATCTTATATTCTGACTTCTTTTTGTTTGGCTACTCACATGGATGTATTACCAGATTATTTGTTATTTATCTGTGGGTAAGATACTATCTTTTTCATTTTCTAATATTCAGTTTCAGTGTTTGTTGGGATTTAGTTATATTTATGCTTTTGCATTTTCAGTGCCTCTTTGCTGATCTCTTAAAGTCATATCCTCTTAGGATATATTCTCACAATATCATATAACTTTAATTCATAGAAATTTTAAAACCGCATTTTTAATATTACCATTGTGATTGACTCAAGATTATATCATCCCCAGTATTCTCAGCATCATGAGGGCCAGGTCCAAGGTCCTTGTCTAGCTTTGTTCGCTGATTTAAAGTCAGAATTTATCACAAAACCTAGAATAGAGATATTCTGAATAAATATCACTTGAGTTAATAAACTATCATTATGACCTTTGCATTATCATTTTTTGAGTAGCGGAAGATCTACTCCCTTCCACTTTCCAACATAATTTTTATTCAATCTAAATTATTTAGAATCTGACTGTACAGTTTCTATGCCTCATGCCTCCTAACATGAAGCAGAAACATTTGAAGAACAGAAACCATCTTTGTCTTTTTCTTACATTTTCCATTGACCGCACAGTGGCAAACAGAAGATTTTCTCTGAATACTTGACAACTATGTGGATGGATGAATGAACAGATTAATTGATAAGTGAATGCCTTTGTACCCAGAGAATGTGCAGCATTATGTGGACGTGCCGCATTTCTATTCTAAGCAATACGATATCAAAGACTAATAATCTGTTTGATCCTGGCCTCACAATGTATTAACTGTAGGTTCCAGGGAAAGTTAATTAACCTCTACTTGTTTCAGTTTCCTGTCTGTAAAATGAAGGTACTAATACTAAGAACCTGCACCATCTGTCAGTTTATCTGAGCTAATGATGTTAGCTATTAAGCCTAAGGCTGGCACACATTGATCACTCAATGCCTGTGGAGTGAGTGAGTGAGTGAGTGAAGTCGCTCAGTCGTGGCCGACTCTTTGCGACCCCATGGACTGTAGCCTCCCAGGATCCTCCCTCCATGAGATTCTCCAAGCAAGAATACTGGAGTGGGTTGCCATTTCCTCCTCCAGGGGATCTTCCCGACTCAGGAATTGAACCTGGGTCCTGACTGCATTGCAGGCAGACGCTTTAACCTCTGAGCCATCAGGGAAGCCTTTAACTAATTACTCCCATCATGTTTTCTTTCCTGTGACCTTTAAACAAGTTTGTCATTATCCCAAATCCTCTCTCTGTAGCCTTTCAGTTTGAGGGCTAAGATTCTGCATTCAATGAAATGCAGATTTACCTGAGAGCGGGAAAACTAAGAGGTTTTACAGTCCTCAATAAATACACATTGCACACTCCTTGAAGTATTTAGGACACATTGGTTCATAACTGTTATCTCCAGGGACCATGCTAGCTATGGAAATGACACCTCTGCTCACAAAGGCTTGAATTCTAGCAGTGACACTAGAAATATAAGTGAGTAATGAAAGCAGAGTGTGTTAGTCAAGGGTAGAGCAGAGAGGTAGGCAGCATGGTGAATGGAGGTCAAACTCTGTGGAGGCAAAACAAAATTATACTCATTAACAGAAGAGAATTTAATGGAAAGAATTTAACTTAATAAAGAGAACACAGACAG